GGGGTAGACTGGTCACTAGTCACACTGGTCAGTAGGGGTAGACTGGTCACTAGTCACACTGGTCAGTAGGGGTAGACTGGTCACTAGTCACACTGGTCAGTAGGGATAGACTGGTCAATAGTCACACTGGTCAGTAGGGGTAGACTGGTCACTAGTCATACTGGTCAGTAGGGGTAGACTGGTCACTAGTCACACTGGTCAGTAGGGGTAGACTGGTCACTAGTCACACTGGTCAGTAGGGATAGACTGGTCACTAGTCACACTGGTCAGTAGGGGTAGACTGGTCACTAGTCACACTGGTCAGTAGGGGTAGACTGGTCACTAGTCACACTGGTCAGTAGGGGTAGACTGGTCACTAGTCACACTGGTCAGTAGGGGTAGACTGGTCACTAGTCACACTGGTCAGTAGGGGTAGACTGGTCACTAGCCACACTGGTTAGTAGGGATAGACTGGTCACTAGTCACACTGGTCAGTAGGGGTAGACTGGTCACTAGTCACACTGGTCAGTAGGGGTAGACTGGTCACTAGTCACACTGGTCAGTAGGGGTAGACTGGTCACTAGTCACACTGGTCAGTAGGGAAAGACTGGTCACTAGTCACACTGGTCAGTAGGGGTAGACTGGTCACTAGTCACACTGGTCAGTAGGGATAGACTTGTCACTAGTCACACTGGTCAGTAGGGATAGACTGGTCAATAGTCACACTGGTCAGTAGGGGTAGACTGGTCACTAGTCACACTGGTCAGTAGGGATAGACTGGTCACTAATCACACTGGTCAGTAGGGATAGACTGGTCACTAGTCACACTGGTCAGTAGGGATAGACTGGTCACTAGTCACACTGGTCAGTAGGGGTAGACTGGTCACTAGTCACACTGGTTAGTAGGGATAGACTGGTCACTAGTCACACTGGTCAGTAGGGGTAGACTGGTCACTAGTCACACTGGTCAGTAGGGATAGACTTGTCACTAGTCACACTGGTCAGTAGGGATAGACTGGTCAATAGTCACACTGGTCAGTAGGGGTAGACTGGTCACTAGTCACACTGGTCAGTAGGGATAGACTGGTCACTAATCACACTGGTCAGTAGGGATAGACTGGTCACTAGTCACACTGGTCAGTAGGGATAGACTGGTCAATAGTCACACTGGTCAGTAGGGGTAGACTGGTCACTAGTCACACTGGTCAGTAGGGATAGACTGGTCACTAATCTGTAATCACACTGGTCAGTAGGGATAGACTGGTAACTAGTCACACTGGTCAGTAGGGATAGACTGGTCACTAGTCACACTGGTCAGTAGGGGTGGACTGGTCACTAGTCACACTGGTCAGTAGGGATATACTGGTCACTAGTCACACTGGTCAGTAGGGATAGACTGGTCACTAGTCACACTGGTAAGTAGGGGTAGACTGGTCACTAGCCACACTGGTCAGTAGGGGTAGACTGGTCACTAGTCACACTGGTCAGTAGGGGTAGACTGGTCACTAGTCACACTGGTCAGTAGGGATAGACTGGTCAATAGTCACACTGGTCAGTAGGGGTAGACTGGTCACTAGTCACACTGGTCAGTAGGGGTAGACTGGTCACTAGCCACACTGGTTAGTAGGGATAGACTGGTCACTAGTCACACTGGTCAGTAGGGGTAGACTGGTCACTAGTCACACTGGTCAGTAGGGGTAGACTGGTCACTAGTCACACTGGTCAGTAGGGGTAGACTGGTCACTAGTCACACTGGTCAGTAGGGATAGACTGGTCACTAGTCACACTGGTCAGTAGGGGTAGACTGGTCACTAGTCACACTGGTCAGTAGGGATAGACTTGTCACTAGTCACACTGGTCAGTAGGGATAGACTGGTCAATAGTCACACTGGTCAGTAGGGGTAGACTGGTCACTAGTCACACTGGTCAGTAGGGATAGACTGGTCACTAATCACACTGGTCAGTAGGGATAGACTGGTCACTAGTCACACTGGTCAGTAGGGATAGACTGGTCACTAGTCACACTGGTCAGTAGGGGTAGACTGGTCACTAGTCACACTGGTTAGTAGGGATAGACTGGTCACTAGTCACACTGGTCAGTAGGGGTAGACTGGTCACTAGTCACACTGGTCAGTAGGGATAGACTTGTCACTAGTCACACTGGTCAGTAGGGATAGACTGGTCAATAGTCACACTGGTCAGTAGGGGTAGACTGGTCACTAGTCACACTGGTCAGTAGGGATAGACTGGTCACTAATCACACTGGTCAGTAGGGATAGACTGGTCACTAGTCACACTGGTCAGTAGGGATAGACTGGTCAATAGTCACACTGGTCAGTAGGGGTAGACTGGTCACTAGTCACACTGGTCAGTAGGGATAGACTGGTCACTAATCTGTAATCACACTGGTCAGTAGGGATAGACTGGTAACTAGTCACACTGGTCAGTAGGGATAGACTGGTCACTAGTCACACTGGTCAGTAGGGGTGGACTGGTCACTAGTCACACTGGTCAGTAGGGATATACTGGTCACTAGTCACACTGGTCAGTAGGGATAGACTGGTCACTAGTCACACTGGTCAGTAGGGATAGACTGGTCACTAGTCACACTGGTCGGTAGGGGTAGACTGGTCACTAGTCACACTGGTCAGTAGGGATAGACTGGTCACTAGTCACACTGGTAAGTAGGGGTAGACTGGTCACTAGCCACACTGGTCAGTAGGGGTAGACTGGTCACTAGTCACACTGGTCAGTAGGGGTAGACTGGTCACTAGTCACACTGGTCAGTAGGGGTAGACTGGTCACTAGTCACACTGGTCAGTAGGGATAGACTGGTCACTAGTCACACTGGTCAGTAGGGATAGACTGGTCACTAGTCACACTGGTCAGTAGGGGTAGACTGGTCACTAGTCACACTGGTCAGTAGGGATAGACTGGTAACTAATCACACTGGTCAGTAGGGATAGACTGGTCACTAGTCACACTGGTCAGTAGGGATAGACTGGTCACTAGTCACACTGGTCAGTAGGGATAGACTGGTCACTAGTCACACTGGTCAGTAGGGGTAGACTGGTCACTAGTCACACTGGTCAGTAGGGATAGACTGGTCAATAGTCACACTGGTCAGTAGGGGTAGACTGGTCACTAGTCACACTGATCAGTAGGGATAGACTGGTCACTAATCACACTGGTCAGTATGGATAGACTGGTCACTAGTCACACTGGTCAGTAGGGGCGACTGGTCACTAGTCACACTGGTCAGTAGGGGTAGACTGGTCACTAGTCACACTGGTCAGTAGGGGTAGACTGGTCACTAGTCACACTGGTCAGTAGGGATAGACTGGTCAATAGTCACACTGGTCAGTAGGGGTAGACTGGTCACTAATCACACTGGTCAGTAGGGATAGACTGGTCACTAGTCACACTGGTCAGTAGGGATAGACTGGTCACTAGTCACACTGGTCAGTAGGGGTAGACTGGTCACTAGTCACACTGGTCAGTAGGGATAGACTGGTCACTAGTCACACTGGTCAGTAGGGATAGACTGGTCACTAGTCACACTGGTCAGTAGGGATAGACTGGTCAATAGTCACACTGGTCAGTAGGGGTAGACTGGTCACTAGTCACTATGGTCAGTAGGGATAGACTGGTCACTAGTCACACTGGTCAGTACGGGTAGACTGGTCACTAGTCACACTGGTCAGTAAGGATAGACTGGTCACTAGTCACACTGGTCAGTAGGGATAGACTGGTCATTAGTCACACTGGTCAGTAGGGATAGACTGGTCACTAGTCACACTGGTCAGTAGGGATAGACTGGCCACTAGTCACACTGGTCAGTAGGGGTAGACTGGTCACTAGCCACACTGGTCAGTAGGGGTAGACTGGTCACTAGCCACACTGATCTTTAGTTAGGGCCCGGTCCCACATGCACTTGAGAGTTGCGGATCCGCTGCAGCGGTGTCGCAACAGCGTGTATCACCATGGAAACTGCGAGTAGCGGAACTTCCGCCGTGGCGGAAAGTTCAAATCCGCTACTCCAAAATTTTTGGAGCGTATACTCTCCTGCGGAAGTTCCGCTCCTGCGACACTCTGACATAGTGAGCGATTTGTGTTGTTCGATTATATTTTCGATCATGAAGTGGACAGTTTGACTTTAGTCAGAGCAGCTACGGCTGTAGTTGTACATGTATGTTGAAGTCAAGACTCGTTTGGCCAAGGGATGAAGAGAGATACGGAGCGATAGGTGGATAGCCGAGAAGCTGAAACCGACGGCTGCGGCGTCGGCCAAAGACCAAATCCCGGACCTGTGAGCAGCCAAGCATGGCCATCATGTAAAACCACGCAGTCGGACCACTGTGATGTAGGTCTAGCAAGAGCGATACATGTACCACTATTACCAGTATCTGTAGCAGTTATCATTGCCATTGGTTATCGTCGACGTGCTGCTCAACAAGTTCGTACTAGTATTCAGCAACAAAATGTCGCTGCGGTCTCCATTGCCTGTCGACAACGTCTCGCCAATCGACCTCTACCCGACGGAAAATCCATTCTTTCAGATTACTAGTATAGTATACAGAACAAAGACTCAAAGTCAACAATACCTAACCCACGACATGTAGCTAATGCTTGATACTCAACAAAAACAACGATCTGTCCAACACCTAGTATCTACATGAACAGTACATCAGTGCTGCGTTGATGTGTCCACAAAGGACGAAACAGTTCTGTCCACAGACACAGTACTGACTGTACACCATCAGTACGTGCACGCGTACTTCGAAGTGAAAGCATGCTTGAGTTGCAGGAGAGCTGCACTGAATTTTTTGGAAGTCAGAGAGGCGCGCTCGCTTCGTTCGCCACGCGTGCACCCGTGAGCATGTGAGACCACGCGAGCATTTTGTCGCAGGAGAGGTGCGACACCACTCCCGCAAAACCTTGTCGCACCAGCGGATCCGCCACTGCATGTGGGACCGGGCCCTTATAGGTTTTACTATAGACCTTGGGAAAAATGTACTCACCTTGTTGAATGGTGGTAACAGCTGCTGAGACACGTGAAACCTTATCACTAGTGTCTTGCTGCTGCTCCAGTAGTTGTTCAATGCTTGTGGAGGTTGTAGCACTTTGCTCCTGTAGTTGACGGACAGTTGTGTTGGTCTGGTTTTGCATTTCCACTATGCGTTCACATGCTGCAGTTGTATCTTGTTCACCTATATACATGATAAGATAGGTAGACATAAACACTCTCTCACATGCACACACATGTGTATGCACCCATGTACCAATGCACAAGTACAAACACACACACATACATGTATATACAAACACACAGACACACACGTGCACACACACACACACACACACACACACACACACACACACACACACACACACACACACACACATACACACACACACATATCGGTCCTCGACAAGCGATGTATCCGCTGCGTTGCCAACCAGCCTTTCCCCTCCCACACAGATCCCATCTGTACCCGCCTTGGCCTCATCCCCATCATCCAAAACGCCCACTGTAAACTCCGCCTCCTCATACTGCTTATCCACACCACCAGAATTAGAAATCTTCTGTGCAAGCGCCTACGTCGCCAGACTGAAGGTGTCACTCGGATCAATGATCCAAATGCGTATGTTCTCCCTGCCACCAGGCGAGTCTCTGGTGACTGTCGGCCGCTCGTTTTTGCTGTTAGATTATGGAGCGCCCTGCCCCGAGAGTTCAAGTCCCTCGCCTGCCATAGATCATTCAAGAGACTTTTATAGGTATATTTTGTATGGCTAGCCAGCATCTAGGTTTGCACTTGGAGTCGTGACTCAACTGTGACTCAACTGTGACTCAACTTTGCTCTTTTTTCGTTATGTTTGTCTTTTGTTCTTCTTTCCTTTTTCCCTCATACTTTTTCTTCTTCTTCTTTTTTCTTATTTTACCTTTCTCTTTTTCTTTTTGAGTATTTGCAGGCTGTGTTTTCTGTGTTTTTCTCTCTTTCGTGGAGGCTTGCTTGTTGTATCCTTGGCTTTCGGCCGTTAATTTATCCCCATCATAATATTGGGCACCATTGCCCGTTTGGTCAGCGATACAAAATAAAATTGCGACAACAACAACACACACACACCTTGGACCTTGGACACGATGCCATATTCTGGCTATGCAGACCCCATGGGGGGGGGGGGGGTTGAGCAGGTTCGGAACAGCCGCGGCGATGACGGAATAGGTCATGTGTGTTCTGTGTGTCCTGAATTGTGTATTTCTTCTGTTTCAAACAAACATCCAGAATGCCGACACGCGTATTGATTCTAGTACAAGGCCAAAGGATGCAGCACTGCATGCGTACATGTGCACAGGCGTAGATCTACGTGCGTAGTAGGTAACTTTAAATACTAAATTAGTAGCCGTAGTAGTAGTAGAGTACTAGTGCAATCGGTCATGTACATGCACTCGCTACATGCACTCGCTACATGCACTCGCTACATGCACTCGTTACATGCACTCGCTACATGCACTCGCTACATGCACTCGCTACATGCACTCGCTACATGCACTCGCTACATGCACTCGCTACATGCACTCGCTACATGCACTCACGCGATCGCAGCAGCGCAGTAAAACTAGTTTTAGTGCATGCAGTTTATTAGTAGATTCTACCAGCACTACACTTTTCATAACCAGGAGTTCGCAAAAAATCAAGGTCGACTTTTTTAGGCGGGTGCACGTGCCCAGTGCTCCTCACGGTTGACGCCCTTGACAAAACTTATATTGGTAATAACTTTGGCATACATTAATATTTTTTAACCAAATTTTCTGTGTCGATACATTGGGTAAGTTGTCATCGATTTCCGGTATCAAATTTCAATTATGAGCAGAATGACGTCATTAGGGCTACTTTTTATGTTCAGATTTCAACCCAAAAAGCGGAGAAAACGAAAAATTATAAGGTCACAAATCCTGGTGAATTGGATAGCCTTTGGGCCCTAGATAAAGGATATTGGTGGATATTGTACATAGATAACAACATTTCGCTGGAAACCAGTGTCGACTTGTTTCACCATACGCACTGTACACATTTTGGTATACGAAGCAGTCGTACCTCGGGGTCTGCTCAGACCCACCACCGCGATTAACGGGTGTTTAGTATCGATATCCAGCACATTCCTGCTTGCTGGGATGTACAGCTAGCCAATGCAACAGCTCTCATTCGCCAAAGACATTCCCCACGCTCCTCGTTTATGGATAAAGCTGTCATTGCTGTTTCAAAATAGCCACATTGTCTCTTACACATACTAATTACTGTGAAGCTACTTGAATGCATGCTAGTACAGGATCCGAAGCTCAAAAATAAAATTGGGTCTGCCACTTCACTCCGAGTATTTGCCGCTTTCAGAGCTGATGGCGATGGTTATAGAAGGTCAATTTTGTTTGTTGGCCCTTCTGAATCGGGGAAGGAGACGAGCGGCGAGAGGGTTTTCGTCGACGATTTCGCAAGCCTTCTCAAGCGTTCTCAAGGAGGTCGCAAATTTATTTTCGCCCTGCGTCCGTACGCGCATGGCTTGAGCATGCACACATTGCGCACCCACGACAAACATTTGAAAAATTTAGGAAATGACGACGCTGGCCGGGGAACTTATTTGAGGAAGCACGAGGTCTTTCAATTTCAATCCCACGCGAGTAAGCATGGAGGAAGACGAGAATTGTGCCTCCTGTGCACAAAGTCCAGGTAATGTTGGGCATTTAGTGGCTTCAGCCAGTACTCAGGTTTCGGAAATTTCGTGGGGCTCATGTTTGTGCCACTGTGTGAAGATCGAAGGAAGCGAAAAGGAGGAGAAAGTAAATTTCACGAACACCAGCTGGTCTCGAGTGGTATCTGCTGCCAAAATTCGCCAGGACGGCACATGGGCCTTTCTCTGCCAGGAGCAGTGTAGCACGGATGAGAGCACCCCGCGTGGCTGGTACCATAGGCGCTGCTATGCAGCCTACACCCACAAGAAGACTCTGAGTCGTTTTGAGGGAGAGGAGAGTGGTGGCCTTGCCAGCAATGTTGACGCAGAGGAGGTGGGTGACGCAGATGCCTGTGAGGATGAACCTCCCAAGAAGCGTGTTATGACACGAAGCAAAGTGACAACCATCGACATCACTCTGTGTATAATATGTCAACAAAAAAAAGAACCGGAAAGCTGAACCGCTTACCCTCTGTTCAGAATTCCGTGCTGGCGAAAGCCTGATCCGTGCGGCAAATGCACGTGGAGATGAAGCAGGCCAGCGGATTTTACTTACCCTCCAGGAGGGCAGTCCCGATTGTGTAGCATCGGACATATGCTACCATTTCTGCTGCTACCGTAACTACACTCATTCTAGCACGGTGGCAGCACTGGAGGCAAAGAAGACGACGGCAGTTGCAGACGACAATGTGTACGATAGAGCCTTTGAGTGGCTGGCTGTATGCATGGAGAAGGAGCTCTTCAGTGAGACAGAAATACGAGCGATGCGTATGGACAGCCTGACGTCCAAGTACAGCGCCAAGCTGGCAGAGCTCGGAGCTGCAAGTCAATACCGACGATGGCTGCTGAAGAAGCGCCTGTTGGAGCATTTTGGAAAACGCATCAACTTCGTCCGTCCTGGTCCATTGTCACCCGAGAGCGTTGTAAGCAGCTCCTTGACAGAATCACAACTGCTACAAGTAGTTGGTGCAGCCGTAGCCAAGGCTGAGGCAGCCCAGCAGTGCGCCGACGAATATGCTGGAGATGATATGGCGGATGAAGATGCACCTCCAGCTATTGATAGCAGCTGCAAGGTACATGCCTTCCACACAGCCATGGCTCTGAACAACGCCATCCGTGATCAGCAGCCCACAATACCCACCATGCCACATGCCAGTGATATCGTAAATGAGAATGCGCCAGTGCCAGACATCCTCTACAATGTGCTTGCCATGACCATTGTCGGCCCTGAGAAGTGTGACATTGGTGACCTGACGGACTCCCGTGTCCATGTCCCTGCCGACATCCATTGCAAGATTTTGGCAATTGCTGAGGATATTGTGTATGCTGCAACTCGTGGATCTATTCTGACACCAAAGCACGTAGCTTTGGCGCTTACTGTCCACCACCACACGAGGAGCAAGCACATGGTGGATCTTCTCAACCAGTTCGGCCATGGCATATCGTATTCAAAGCTGCGAGAAGTAGAAACCGGGTATTCTCTCGAAGTAGCAGGAAGTTCCGCAGCCAGCAGTGTTGTAGTGATCAGTGCATTGAACAGACCATCAACCGGCAAAGCAAGTCACATGGAGGACTCAATGGCTTCAGCCGCAACCCAGGTAAGGGCAAAAATTCGTAACAACTGACCAAACTTCAAATTATCCAATAGAACATACATGTACACTGATGGGGAGATACTTCCTGATGATCCCACATGCAAGATCAAACAGTAAGCAACCAATGTACACTATGCAAACACAGTGCTGCCCACCTGCATCACGAATAGGAAATGATTCGACTCTAATGTGATCCTGAACAGTTGTGGATTACATGTACATGATGATGTATTTCTCCTTCCCTTTTCTGTATAATTGTCCAATAAAGGAACTGTTCACCGCTGGGTGCTCACAGCTCACGAGCGAGCGGCTGTTGCAAGTGCATGTAACGACCTCGTCAAAGCGGAGGACTATGATGGCACAGCACGTCCACACAAGGACAACACAGACAGCAGAATGAAACGGGATCAAAGCGACTATGGGAAGCTCGAAAAGCGGTTGGCAGAGTTCAGCCATCCGTTCCTTGGTGAAGATTTGATCAGCCTCTCCAGTGGGAAAGTCTGTTCTGCTCAAGCAACCTCCGATCTCCTATCCAGTCACACGCAGGGAAAGAGTGCAATGAGCAAGTTCGTGGCAGACCGCTTGGAGAGTCAGGTAAGACGGTTATGATTTTGCAGCACACCATGTTAAAAGTCTTGACGTGTGGATATATGATAGGATGCATGTTTTGGTGACATACTTTGTTACCAAACACATTGAAATCAAAAGTGACGCTGTAGGGGATGTTATAATTCCGTTCTGTACTCTGTAATCCATGCACTACGTTCTAAGTTGTCAACCCATTTGTGTGTGTGTGCATGCGTGACTTGTTTCTTCCTACAGGCAGTTGATTTCTTCACACCGATATCACGGCTGAACCTGAAGACGTTCTCGGAAACCAAATCTGCAGCAAAGAAGTCTTCCAAGACAACAGCGATCGTGGCAGATAGGAGCTTATTCGGCCGGCTACTAGTTATGGCTCAATCAAGGTCATTCGACTTGAAGGAACTCTTCCAGCATGAGCTTGGACCAGTCCCATGGGCCCTGGCCAACGCAGACGGATCCCTTGTGAAGACTCCAAAGAGTAAGCTGCTGCTTGCTCTTGAGAAGAAAGTTGACCCACTGGAGTCAGTTCCGCGTGGTCCTGCCGTTATGGTCGACGCGATGGCATTACTGCAGAGCTACACATCTGCGCCACCGACATTCGGACAGCTCAGCGAACAAGTCTTCAAGCAGCTAGTCTCCTACCTTCCAGCTACACCTCCAGCACGAGTTGACTTCGTAGCAGATCAATACCACACTGCGTCGATTAAGTCGTGCGAGCGCTCAAAGCGAACGGCCTCAACTGAGCCCCTGCGAGTGGCAGTACAACGTCCAGACCAGGCTATTCCTACTCAGTGGAAGCGGTTCATGGCAAGCGGAGCGAATAAGACCGGCCTAATCCAGTTCTTCGCTGACCATTGGAGTTCTACACCGGAGCTCAAGGCAACATTGGGTGTCAGTCGCAGTGTATTCATAACCGTGGGACAGCAGTGCTACGTGTTGCAAGAAGAAGAAGGGAAATCGACACTTTCACGGCACCAGGTGTCCAGGTTAGTATTATAAAAGACAAACAGTACAATGTCATGTTTATTGCGACTTTGACTATTGTCAAGCAAGTGGTATAAAACATTTGCTGCATATTGGTCCCACAAGTACAAGTAGGATATTGCTGATGGATTGAATTCAGTGATGAAAATCACATAATCTGGCATGTTATCGTTCTCTGAATGCCCGGGAAATCATTTTGCTCTTTTTACAATTTTGATCATGTTCACAGGTTGACCAGCAATCATGAGGAAGCAGACACCCGGCTGATCCTTCATGCCGCTGATGCTGTGCAGCAAGGATTCCCAGATGTTGTCATTCGGTCGCCAGACACGGATGTAGCCGTGATTGCCATTGGCTCCGCTAGCAGCATTCCCGGTCGGCTCATATTCCAGACTGGCACGCAGCAACGGAGGCGGTTCATCGACCTTACCCAGCTGTCACAGAAGCTGGGCCCCCTGGTTTCGTCTGCAATTGTTGGACTGCATGCTCTTACTGGGTGTGACAGTGTCAGTTCCTTTTCTGGGAAGGGAAAGACTGCTCCGCTGAAGCTGCTCCTGTCAAGCACGCGAATGGCAGAGGCACTGGCGACACTGGGTGTCAATGCTACATCGGATGACCAGCTGCTTTCTGAATGTGAGTGGTTTGCGTGTGCCTTGTATGGCAATCCTGGCCAGCAAGACATCAACAGCCTGCGCTACCAAAAGTTCTGTGCGGCCACATCCTGTGCTCCGCACAAACTACCGCCCTCACGCGACGCTCTCCATCAACATGTGGCCAGGGCTAACTACCAGGCCCACATTTGGCGGAGCGCCACCACTGCGATGCCAGAAGTACCGAGTCCAGTGGGCCATGGCTGGCAGTCGGAGACTGACGGCACGCTTTCCATCTCCTGGATGCTGCAGCGCGTCGCTCCTGCTGACATACTAAAACTGGTGAGCTGTGGGTGCAAGACAAGGCACTGCGTAAGTCAGCACTGTTCGTGCAAGAAGGCGTCCTTGGCTTGCACGGACATCTGCTCGTGCTGCTCATGCGCCAATCCGTTTGGGGCCGTACTCGAACAGAACGACAGCTCCGGTGCCGCAGATGTGGGAACAACTGCATGTGAAGGCGACCAAAACAGTGAGAGCGAGGAAAGTACTGGTGCTGACGACTTTGAAGAGTCTGACTCCAGCTCAGATTCTGATGAGGATCCAGATCAGGAGTTTGACGACTCGCTGTAGACACTGGCAACTGCACCGTCCTCCCCTGGTCCAAGCCACCCATTGTGTTTGTGAATTATGGCTATGGCTGTCAACACACCTAACCTGTTCAAACATTGTATATAAACTGCTTGTACATAGCTTGGCTTCTAAAGTGATGACGCTATCATCCTACATTTTATTCCAATGTACATATTAAACTGGGCATATTGTCCATGAATTGCACAGCACTGGACATGTCTTCCTTACTACAGTTTTAGTATTTATTTATTTCATTTTCGATTGAGTAGTGACTACAATGCGTTTATATCATTTCTAGTCTACTCTAACTCTAATTTAATCGAGTGCTATTGAAGGTGTGTGTGCCTGAGAGAGAAGCAGGGAAAGGGTCCAAGCTTAGCTTTGCAGAATGATAGGTAAGGTGTCCCTCGTATCGATCGTATCAACGAAATTCCAATCAAGAAAACATTTGAGATCACTCGCGAAGCGGCGTCAAACTACACGACACGACGGGTAGTTTGTTGACTGCCATTGCGAGTGGGTAGTGGAAGGACCAAACGATATCTAGGCTAGGCTTACGAAGTCCCTGTGCTTTACTTCTACAAGAGCGAGAGTAAACTAACTTCTTGACCAAGAATATGATCAACAACAAAGTGAAGTCGCCGACCAGATCAGACACTCGCTTTGAGTTTTCAAATTTGACTGCATTTGGTTGTCATGTGCGTACTCTACGCAACTCAGAATCGGCCCGAGACGAAAGGTGAGCAGTTCAAGTGACCGACGAAGCTGAACTAAAATTGCCTCTCGCGGAGCTCCTTCCCCGATCTAGACGGGCCAACAACTACCATTCGACTCCACAACAGGTACTCTCTCCGCCTGTACAGTTCGATTTTACTCGGATTCTAGTGGCAGACCACTTTCAGATTTAGACACTTTTTTTTGTCCTGGATCCCCGACTATGCTACTGTGCTGTACATGTAGTGCATGCTGTGCTGTACATGTAGTGCATGCTGTGCTGTACATGTAGTGCATGCTGTGCTGTACATGTAGTGCATGCTGTGCTCTACATGTAGTGTATGCTGTGCTGTACATGTAGTGTATGCTATGCTGTACATGTAGTGCATGCTGTGCTGTACATGTAGTGCATGCTGTGCTGTACATGTAGTGCATGCTGTGCTGTACATGTAGTGCATGCTGTGCTGTACATGTAGTGTATGCTGTGCTGTACATGTAGTGCATGCTGTGCTGTACATGTAGTGCATGCTGTGCTGTACATGCAGTGCATGCTGTGCTGTACATGTAGTGCATGCTGTGCTGTACATGTAGTGCATGCTGTGCTGTCCATGTAGTGCATCACAACAGATGCACTGTAGATCTACCATGCATAAGAGCCAAGCATGTATGCACTTGAGTAGGGCACTAATTCCCACATGCGATTGCTGGTCACAACTGCAGTGCTGCCAAATCATTTTCGCCCAAAATCGGACACCCCTCACCGCCAAGGCTGGCCACATGGTGCGAATTTTTCTATTTGGCAATTTTTTCAGAGAATTCAAAATATCCCCCAAAATACCATGAAAAATCGCTCCGTTGCCATGGTTACCAATTTGGCACCCCCCCCCCCCCCCCCCAAGTTGTCATGAATGAATGTGGTCACACACTGCACAGTGTCATGTACTCAGGCATGTTACTCAACTCTCAAGTTTGCAATTCCACAGTCGGCCAAGCACTAGCCCTTTTTCATGTACATGTACATGTACATGACTACAGCACTCGTACTACATGTAGTAGTACAGTGATGTGTGCCTTCAGTTACGCTGAAAAGTGAAAATACAGGACTTCTGCATAGGAAAGTAATGATCCCTGATAATTGTGGCTGCTTTTCAGACGTTTCCTTTTTCGGACCGGTTTTCGGAAGAGCCTTCAAAAATCGGACACTGTCCGAAAAATCGGACGGTTTGGCAGCACTGCAACTGAGTCTGTCCGCGACTGTGCTCGAGTCGTTGTGACTTGCAAGTACACTCTGTACTGTACAGTACAGAAACAAGGCAAGTGCAGTTTTCAGTGCATGGACTCAGCTACTAAACATTTTGTGGAAGCAAACAAGCCTTTTTTATGATGTTGGTCATTTTTCTCAATCGACTCCGCGCTTTGAGCTAGATCAGAACACAGTAGATGTGTGCGTGGGGTATTGCCCAACTAGAACTGGAGTCCTCACATACCCCAGGTCGCGCCGAGCTAATCACTTTTGTCAGCAGAACTCCTGCTCGCGACTCAACACATTTGCCATAAAAGCCCGTGTATCGGCCCTGGGTGTATAGAATAGCAGCCTCGATTTCCTGAGCGTATACAAGGGCACGGGCGTTATTTCGGAACCGGGCGTATACTTGGAATAGGGATGGCAGTAAGTATTGGGTATCCGTACCTGTACATGTACTGGTGTTGCCGTCATACCTGGGCGTATACAAGGGCACGGGCGTTATTTTGGAACCGGGCGTATACTTGGAATAGGGATGGCAGTAAGTATTGGGTATCAGTACCTGTACATGTACTGGTGTTGCCGGCATACCTGGGCGTATACATGGGCATGGGCGCTATTTTGAAACAAAACTTTTGACTTCCCCTGACTAGGCGTGTACACGGAGGGTGGGCGTAACTTCGAGTGGGGTTATAATATTCGCGGGATCCGCGTCGGCATTGCTTGAATGTTCGTTCAGAAACACACAAACTAGCCTTCGCATCCGCAGGCCACCACTATGCCTATTAACCTTAGTGGCGAATGCAGACATCACAAGTGAGTCAGGGGAGAGGAGGTTAGTCTCTCAACCAATCGGGCGTGTAACGGCCCATGACCCTGTAAACTGAATCCTTGTTATTCTCACTCCGAGCTGTGAGTACCCAGTTGACCGTGGGTGTCGGCGCAGTTCAACACGCGTAAAAGTCTTTTTACACGC